ATATGAGCAAACTATCTAAAATTGAAAAAATTTCTAAAAAATTTTAATTTTTGGTAAAAAGGGCCATTTCCGATCGCAAAATCGATATTTTGTATTTTTAATAAAAATTTGTAAAGTTTTCCTGCCACTATTTATTTTTAAAAACTGGTTCCTAAGAAACGTACTGGATAAACTGGATGAGGAACAGAAATGCCGTAAATCCACGTGAAGACGATCCACCTCGCCTTCGCGAACAGCCAGCCCCGATGGGCGCAGATGAGGCAGAAAGAAGAGGGAGAACAGGCTCAATCCCGTCATGATCACCATCGGCATCTCAGTATCGAAGTCGGTGGCCACCACTGGAATTTCGAAGTGACGGCATGACAAGGTGGAGCACGAACCAGTGGTGACGAGGACGAGCAGAACGGTGTGAAGAAGCCACACCATGCTTAGCCGACACGATATTCGGTCATCGTCCATAATTTGCACCGTCGAGAATCAGGAATGACAACACCGGAAGTGTAAGATGGGGCTGCAAAAAAGCTGGATTAAAACGATACACATTAATTTCAGGTTATTCGGTGCTTTGGCAATATCGAGGGCGGCCATTTCTCGTCGAATTCTTAATTCCTAGCCACTTAATCGGAAATATTTAATTGGTTTTAGTAAAATGAATGATTTTAAAAGCTTAGAAAAAATTTTTAGCCGCAATTTTAGTCGAAAATCGACCGGTTCTGGCTGAAAATCGACGTTTTAGTATTTTTTGGTTCTTTAGGATTTCCGGGGGGGAAGTGTTTCCGAGGGGAAACCAAATTTTTCCTGGTTTCCCCGGTCGACCTAGTAATCAAATATAAAGTGTTTTCACACATTGTTTTAGTAAATTTTAACTATATTTAAAGTAGAAAAACCTTTCAAAAAAGTTAGAAAAATGTTTGAAAAAGTCGAAAATTTAGTCATTTTGGGTCTTTCCCCCCCGCTAATCCTAAAGGTTCTATAGGATTTTTCGACCTAAAATTAAATTTTTTAATTAAAATGTGTGTAGTTTTTATGCTCAGGACTAGTTAAAAACCATTTAGAAACGCATGCGCTATTTAGAAAAAATTTAGGCTTGGGCCGAAAAAATTTGGTTTCCCCCCCCGGAAATACTTCCCCCCTCCCGGGGGGAAATCCTAAAGAACCTATTTTTTTTAATGGAAATTTATCAAGTTTACGGAATGATAAAAACAGTCTAGAAACATTGTTATTTATATTAAAAGGTTGAAAAGAAAAGCTTTGAAGAAACCGACAATCGAATCATCGGCATCTGCTGGACGTAGCCGCGTACGCCGGGCGTCAAGAAAAGAACCCCGTTGATGGTGGCCCCAATGGCGCACTAAAAAAATGATATGATCTAGAAAATCAGAATTCTCGGGTACTTGGGCGTTATCGGGGGCAAATTTTCTCGTATAAGCCTAGAAATGCCTGGTAACGTAATAGTAAATGTTTTAATAGTGTTTTTAGCAAAATTTAGCTATCGTTTAAGTGGGAAAACAATTTCTAAAACTGAGAAGAATTTTGATTTTCAGTCGAAAAATCGATATTTTTGCAAATTTTAATGAAAACTGGAACAGTTTTTACAATTTGAATGTGTAAAAAAAAACATTTTAGAAGCACAATTTCTATTAGAAAACTTAGATCCTGAGAAAAAAGTTGGTCCCCCCGATAACGCACAGGAACCAAATTCCCACATGGAGAAAGATGACGGCAAAGTTGTTGGCCATGACACGAGCCCTCCTCCGGTACGATGTCTCGAACGCAGCCAGTGCCAGAGGATCGTGCGGACGTTCCATCTAAAAAAATTAGAATATACTAAATTAGCATCCGGAATTAGCAAAATTATACCCAGACCAGAAAAATTGATACCTTGAAGTCCTTCCAGAAGGCACGAACCGAGTCCATGTCGGGCCAAAAGGAGACCAGATTTTTCGCTTTTTTTTCTTTTTTTCACCCTCCCAGTTCTAATCGGTATTCTAATTACCGTATCGTATTTTCTAGCTTAAATCGTTTTTCCTAAAACGTGCTATCAAAGAAATGACAAAAATGAAGCAGATCGGGAAAATCTAAAGCTTATGCATTATCGGGGGGGGGGGGGGGGGGCACCAGGAAAGAAAACCGGCTTTTCCTTTCCAATATAAATACAGGACGTGTGGTCACGTTAATTTTCACTATTTTACAAACCAGCGCCCAAAACCCGCTTCGCGGGCCTTGGGCGCTGGAATGCGGCCTTTGCATGAAAAATTTGACTTCCCGATAGCTCGGGTCCTTCGGACCCCTGCCCCCCACCGGCCACACACGCGAGTGCAACTGGCAAGAATGAGGAAATTTGTATTTTTCCGAATTATGCAAATTCGCTCTCAGGGACCCCCAAAAATGAATAAAACCGGCTTTAACTTTGTAAACTTGTATTCTAGCGCAATTCTGACAACGCCATCGGAAACAGAAGGGTCGATTCCCCCCGGGTGACGGAGAATTAGGGCATTTTATACACGGGAAGGCCCTCAAATCGGGCCTCGAAAGTGACATCCACACACACACACACACACACATACGCGCCAAAATTATATAAGGTAGGATATTGAAAAACCCAAAAAATGCCGATTTTTCGACAAAAATTCCAATTTTCCACAAATGTTCAAATTTATGCGTTTTTAGCTGATTTTCCATTCGAAATAAAGTTAATTTTTACTAAGACATAATTAAAACTTTATTATTGCGTTAGGCCTTCCTGTATTTACAGAAAAATTGTCGCCTCCGATAATGCAACAGAACCGGATTTTCGAAAAGCGCCCGGAAATCCAGGATGGTGCTTTTGCAAGAGTCCGGTGCAAAATTTGACGTCACAATTTTTGCAAAAACCCCAAAAAAAACCTTTCATTCAGGCGTGGTTTTTTAAAACTAGAAAAATAGGGTAGCTCGGCAACCCGTTAAACTGGAACGGCGAAACGAATAAACCTCGTGTCAAGAAATTGTCATGACAGCCGGTGGGAGGGGCATAAAAAGAGACAGAATCAAGCCGAATGCTTCCTTATTTTAGCTGAAAACTCACTTTATACTAAACTCTATAGAAATTGAGGTCGCTATGAATCAGCAGGTACGCTTTAGGGGCTTAATAAGTTCTATAAGTACGTATGGTTAGAGTGCAGTTTACCCCCCAGCCGGCAATATAACATTTGTATCTTCGTTCCAGCCATCTACAGGTGTGTAAATTATACCAAAATGTTGGGTTTGCTCTGGCGAGTATTTTGTTATACTTTTTACACACCTGTAGATGAACAGCGAGCCGAGATACGGCAGTTTGGAGCATGCAAAAACACGTACTTAGGCGTATGTTTTACGTAACTTGGTACCTATAATTCAAAATTGCAGCAACGCGTCGCCCAATCGCTGTATGAAGCATGGATGGATGGACAGCATGTAAGAACCCTCTTGCCTTCTTTTTAAAGGAGCCGGCAAGGCACAGCTATGGATTTCTAAAAACTACGTGTCGCGATACGCAACGCACAGGCAACGCGTACGGCTAATAGCGAGCCCACTCCGTTGCGCAATGGAAGGCTTGGCCGGAGCGTGGCGTAATCGATACGCAATGGAAAACTTCGCGTTGCGTAACGCGGGCCTAAGAGAAAACTTAAACTCGGAAATTCAAACCAACAAATCCTTCATAATGCCTTGCCGATCCCTTTAAAGGGACGGTGACATCAGAAATGTACACGTCATCTATTTCCGCACCCAAAAACCTAGGAAGAAGAAGACCTGAACGAGCGCGCCGATTCCGGCTTCAAGCACGCCGAGCGGAGCCGGAAAAGCAAATCTCGCCTACAGCAATGCCTACCGGAAGAGCATCTCGCATTCACCGGTAAAAATTCTGGCATGGTTTGTAGTTTGTAGTTTTAAGCCGATTTATTCTGACAACACGATATTTTCGCGTTTTAGAGCATCGCCAGCCCGAAGCCGCCTTCACGCTCTCAAAGTGTTTTGGTATCGTTTTCAAGCCAAATTTTGACACGCTTTTTTATAGAGCGCCGCTCAGTCCGTTTCGTTGAAGCTGCCAGCCTCACGAGCATCTAAAAATGTACCTAGTAAGCTTCCGAAAAGAAAACCTTATCATTATCACAGTTTAAAAGCTGGAAATTCAGTTCTTTCAGCCCCGCTTCCAACTACCGACATCCCGACCCGATCGGTGAGTACGGCGCTTCCGTTTTACCCGTTTTCAGCGTACGGTAGCGGCCGGCCCTTCGTGCCCAGGAATTCCGCTCGAAAAGCGTGCAGGCAAAGCTTGGCGAGGAATTTGTGAGTTTTAGCGACCAGGGAATGGACGCTTGCGGCGCGCGTCGCGTGTCGCGGCGGCCAAATGGAACGAAACCTCTAGATACGCCTTGATAGTCCCTTTAAAACTCCTAAGGCTCCTTTTTCAAGGATGAAGCCGAGTTTTTCATCTTCTACGCCTGGGGACGAACGGCAGGGACGACGATATCGATGAGGACACGATTGTTCGTCTACTTTCAGCCGAGCGAAACCTTGTTGAGGGTATAACCTTTAATCCTGGCTTTTTCAAGGAATGTAAAAATAGGTTTTTGATTTGATCTGTGCTTTGCATAAAAACCTTCAAATAGCATGTAATTACAGTCAAACAATCCACCCTCATTTCATACGAACCAATTTTCTACGCGGCTTCTTCACCGTTTTAACCGTTTTTGTTGGGGGAAAAGGTATGGACGATACGTAATGACGTATTTCCGCTCTAGAAACTCTGCAAATGGGCTGCAATTCGAGCAAGGATAAGAAGGTGCGTGTTTGGTGTGATATGGAAAATTCAGAACATTTTTTCCTATTGATATCTTTGTATTTTTCCAGAACCTTCCACCGCACGACCCTGTGGCCGGGGTGAATCCGGTAACTCGTCCGTGTATTCCACCTATGATCAAAGCATCCAAGGAGGAGCCCCGGTGTCGACTTTATGGGTAAAAATTATGAAAAGATCTCGAGATTGCCTTAAGGAATCTCGGTAGTTGAAATGGCCAAAACTAAAAGAGTAGTGCTTAAAATAGATAACTGCAGCAAAAGCTGAAAGCTAATTGTAGGCGACAAAAACATCAAATACTTGAGAGAAACGGAAAATCTTTAGACGCAAATTGACGGTACTGGGAGCTGTTAGCGGGAGGGGCTAATACTTTTAGTTTCGCGCCGAAACCTACTTGTTAATGCTATATATAACCCGTATTTATCAAGCGGTTTAGGGATATTTGAATGCTAGGAAGCTAGAAAAAACTGAAAATTTTAGTTTTTCGAAATTTTGTTAGGATTTGATAGGGTTTTTTTTTCTCAAAACTAACGCTATAAAAATTGTCTTTATTTGATATCGGGCCGTGCAGGTATCTATCACCCATTATTCCCCCTCCCCTGCTAACACACCAGTACCAAATCGACGTATGCCTGAACTCACTGAGCAGCATGTGGGCCAGAGAAACGCATTTTTCTAGCCTTTCGACGTTTCGGGCCGTTTTCTAGCCCTTTAAGCTAACGATAAATGCTTTTCAGCTCGGCCTACGGTGTTGCACCCCGGGAAGAAGAGTGAGGCAAAAGCGGATATATGGATTTGGCTACGGTATTGAAAAGGACAACATTTTAACGTCCAAAATTCAGGACACGATCTACCAGACGCTGATGAGTCAACTGGCGAGTCTGATCCGGAAGAATCGCAGCCGCCGGGGCGTCAAGTGAATACTGATCGGACCGTTAGAATCGGCGGCATCGGAACGTTTAATAAATTGTTTCTGCGTTGTTCTTGTTGAACTATTGGTCAGCAAGGCGCTGGACTACGCTGCTTGTACGCGTGTCGACGGCGGCGGTGAGGCCGGATTTCTCGGGAAAATGGCGGCTTTGACGACTAAAGGCCGGATTTACCACGATAAACTCGCTGTCAGAATGGGCACTGTAGTAATTGATCGCCGCCACCAAAGAGATACACACCTGAAAAATGGGCTTAAATTTGGTTGAGAGGAGGGGCAAGGCATTGCTGTGGATTATCGTTTCTTTCCGCTTAACGGGGGAGAAA